AAAGAGGAAGATCTAGGAAGGGAGAGTCAGGAAAAAAAATTTGGGGAGACTTGGGTGAAGCTTGGCCATAGAGATAGCAAAAGTCAACAGGTTTTTAACAATAGCATTCCCAGCATTCTAGGTGAAAATCGGGTATACACATCCTTTCTGTGGAAGTGATAAACCTGTGTGCTTAACATTGCTGGCTTTCCTAGTGCTTATCTGTGAGCACAAGATTATCACGCCCTCTACATCTTACCTTTATGGATTTCAAGAAAATAGTGGGCAACATTGAAAAGTGTGAAGTTGCCACTTGATAGTTAATCAAGATATTTAGCTTTATGATCAACTTCCCTAATCAGCCTCCTATTTCCACTTGGCACAGAAAAATGACAGAGCAGAGTAACTTCCCTTCTCAGGCACCACCCACTTCCCCACATTCTGAATGAGGACTGACTTGAGGGCTGAGTCTCACGTTTATTGTCACTATTCAGATAAGAAAGGTATGCCTGTCCTTTTTGAAAAGCAAAAATTCATGAACAAAGGTAGCCCTAGACATCTGTTCTCACAAAGAAACAAAGGTGATAGTTTCTTTGTAAAGTGGCTACTGTATAATAGCTAATGCTCCTTTGTTACTCGCTGTATCATTCTGAATCACTCAGACCTTGGATTCTGCCTCTGGTCTGGAAAAATCAGCTCCTATTCTAGACAGGAATCAGGGTAAGGATATCAAAGAGCAGAGTAATGTTTTTGCTATTCACTATTTAGGTGAACAGGTACAATTCCTGAACTTTTTAGTCCTAGTGTGTAAAATAAAAGCACTGTACTCAATTTTCTCCAAGATGCATCTCAAATAAAACTTCCACAGTATTGAAGTTTTACTTCATTCAAGGAAGCCACTGTGACTATTATCACAAATATGTACCATATTGAAAGTAATTATTTTTTCCATCTTATATAGTAGAGTTGATTGTTGTGAAGACACAATTAGGTTTCATTTTAACATCACATCTGACAGATGCTGTGGCCTCAGTATGAAGACTGCTCAGGATCAATAACAAGCCTTTACAATGTGTTTGTGTTGAACATTTGTAGCTTTAGACCAATGAGGTGCTCATCGTGGAATGTCCTCAGCAGTTCTTAATTATACTTCAAGTTCTTTGCTGCTAATAATATCCAAAAAGAAGTAATGCCTTTTAGCCAGGTGTCATAGGGATATAAGGATATTACTAGTAAAAAAGTTTATTTTGTTCTCATAAATCCTAAGATTTTTGAGCATAAAGTAATAACCAATGGAATTACAAGATTCCTGCTGTCTTCATCATGAATTCCTATAGGATAAAGAACTATTGCTAGGGAACTTAAAACATCAGCATCTGAAATATAAGAGGTTCTAAATTAATTGGACTGCTGTGTCACTTCCGAAAAAGGAACTTTAAAATATGAAAATATTGTTTTGAATGAACATACACAAACACAAATATGTGCATGCATGCATACAGACATGTGACATATACAACTTGTTTTCTAGACTGTGAACAATGGCTAGGCTTCTAGACAAACCCTGAGCAAATTCTACAATAAGATAAACTTAGCCTTAGTATTCTAAGCATCTACATTTTCATCAATAATATTGTTATCTGGTTTAGATCATATGTATTTTTCAGCACTGGGCAATGACCAATTTTCTTGGAGATTATTTTGAAGTAAACCCTTTGTCTCAGAGTTTCTATTAGTATGAAGGGACACTATGGCCTTGACAAGACTTAAAAAGAAAAACATTTGATTGGGGCTGGCTTACAGTTCAGAGGTTTAGTCCAATATCATTATGGTGAGAAGCATGGTAGCAACCAGGCAGACATGGTGCTGGAGAAGTTGCTGAGAGTTCTACATCAGGATCAACAAGCAGGAGAGAGAGAGAGAGAGAGAGAGAGAGAGAGAGAGAGAGAGAGAGAGAGAGAGAGAGAGAGAGAGAGAGAGACTGGGGCCTTGCTGGCTTGGGCATTTGAAATCCTGAAGCCCATCCCCAGTGACACACTTCCTCCAACAAGACCACAACTGTTAATGCCACTCACTAAGCATTTAAACATGAATCTATAGGGGGCCAGTCTCATTCAACCTATCACACCCGTGATGAGTGTTTTCTTATATGAAATAAAAAGCTTCAGATTAGAGTAATTTGATCTCCTGTTTTATGTGAAATCACACTCATGTTGGTATTCTTCTTTACAGATAAGCAAGGCAACATCATTATATAGAATATGCACTCTTTTGCCTAGCTAAAGAAAATTTCCCTAAACATAAATAGCAGACAACTCAAGTACATAATAGTTTTCTATTTTATAAATGATGCTCTCCAGACCTCAAATCAAATCTGCCACAATTTAAAAACTGTTTTATAGCTACCACTCCCAAAAGACCCTTGTCTTTTCAGAATCTTGATCAGTGTAGTGAAATAATGCTGTGAGGAAGGGAGATGCTCCAGAATTAACTTACTTCCATCCTTTGATCTTACATATTAAGACACTGTGATACTCAATTGCAGGTCCCTATGAAGTAGATGTCAGAAGAAAAGCAACTTCATATTCTGTGTCCTGAGGCTATGTTTCCTTTGTATTCCATGCATTTCTTATAGGTTCAGCCCTTGTATATGAAATGGCTGTTTTTGTCCTAGAAATGATGTATATATGATGCATACTGTCAAGCTTTAAGTAACCATTTTCAAATGCTGTTTACGAAGAGTCAGCACATATTTGCTTGAATTTCTCTGTTGCTAGCTTCCAACGTAGTACTTTGAGACCACATGTTGGAAGTAAATATGTGATCACATCTTGTGTTGTTTCTTGTGAACTTCTGCTGTTATACTAATGCTTTTCCCATCTCCAACTGGCTTTACTTTTGCAGCTTTGAGCAGTAATTCAGTCCCCTACGCCTCCCTGATTGGCTCTGTGTCCTCCCTCTCTAGCCAAACCACTACTCAGTCCATATATGATAATAACTCTCTCCCACGATTCGCTCGAAAAGGTCTAAACATCTTTGTCTCTATTACCTTCTCTGTTAAAGCACTGCAATGATGTCCACATCAGCCCATTTCCTTGTCCAGATCCATGCCCAGCCTAACATCTCCTGTGCTTTTGTATTACCATTCTTTTCTCTGGGGAGTGCCTCATCTGGAGAAGCTCTTTCTTAATTACTAGATTGCTGTCACCCACCTTTTCCCGCCACAGAATGTAAATAAGTTCAATACTTTCACCTATATAAAAAGTTTCAGAAAGACTTCTAAATTATCAGTTCAAGTATACAATTATATCAATGACAAAGAGAATCTACATCTAGTCAACTCATTTCGGTTGGATCTCTGCCAAGATATTGACTCCTAGAAGTAGACCTTCACACCCATGAACACAAAACCACCATAGATCACACCACAGGATGATTGTCTGGAAGATGCAAAGTAGTTTTCATTTTGTTTTGTTTTACTTAATTTACTATACCACCAATAATTTGGCATTTCAGATAAAGGACCTTAGTGGGTGACTTTTTGTAGGCACCATTTCTAAAATACCCCTAAGTAATCCTGTCATGCTGTTCTAATGGTCATCCTTCCACCCTGTTACCCTCCAGAGTGGCAGTGGGAACAGAGCATCACCAGAGCTTCCAGTTGGAGCTCCCCACTTCTAATTTTCTACTTCAGATACTTCCCTGGGGGCATGTTAGTTCACTGTCTCAAGCCAGCTGGAATTTGTGTCTCTTAATATCCGAGTCAGCAATTCTCTCTCATGGTACACTTGCAAAATTAATCTCAATGAGACAACATCAAATCATGTGAACAGAGGGGAAAACATCCGAAAAACACAAGAATCATCAAAATTAACAGTAGATTATTTTTAACAAACACTGTGAAATCAGTGTGTCTTCAGCTGGCCAACTGAACTAAGATGTATTGGGCACCACTCTGCTTTCTTTACTTTCCTTGTCTTTTCATCAATCATATGCTCATTTTCTTGTATTCATTTTCCAACATGGACAAAGATGTTTACACCTGGAGTAGCTTGTAGGCTTGCTGGGCATTGATGAGTAAGACATGGGGTTAAATTACTACTGTGTTATTAGTGTAGCCATTTACTAATGGCTAGGAGAAGGCTGCAACCCCAGCCTCTACAATCTGCTACTAGTGAAAACATTTTTGAAGTTCAGTTTGGTTTGGTGTCAATGTGTTGTTGGTTATCATTGCAAATGAGCTGTTGTGCATGTCATTTTCTGTGTTCATATTTGCATGTGAATGTGGTCACCTGACATGTTTGTGAAATACTAAAGTGATCCTCATGTGTCAAGTTGTGTGGTAAGCCCTGCATAAGCTTGCATTTTATTAGTCTTTTATGAAGGTGTATCAGGCTATTCATTTTATTTTTTTTAAACAAATCCATTCAGTTTACTTATTTATTTTATTTTATTTATACCATCATTTCCTTTGCAGGTTCAGATGATTCTGGTTACCCCGGTAACCTTCATTTTTCAAGTTAGTTTTCTTTGTTTATACATAAGTCACTTTATGTTTCCTATCAGGCTGCTCCTCCTTCCTTTCCAGGCCTTCTTCACTGTCTGTTCTTTGGTTGACTTTACACCATTAAATTCCACACAATTTCCATTTCACACAGTGCAGGAGAAGGAGTCTGAGATGGCATAACAGTAATTACTCAAAGCAGAAGTTGACATCAGGCCCGACTTTCCATTTTCTCCGCGAGCTAACCTATTGATTCATAGCACAGTAACATGTTCTTCTACACTAGGAATGCTAGTTTGGGGCATATGCTTGGTGAATTATCTACTTGGTTCCAAAATCCTCCCTTTAGAGCATGTCCTGCTTTGAGTAACCAGACTATCTGCCTGCTTTCTCACATAAAACATTTTTACTACTCACATGTTTTCAGGCCATCTCTAACTACAGCATTCACTGTGTTTTGGAATGGTCAGTCTCATTTTTTTTTTATTCAAATGTGTTTCCTCTTCATTTTTAATAGGTATGGCTAGCCATCCTCCAATACCTATCTTGGAACTTGCAGATCATATTGAGAGGTTGAAAGCAAATGATAACCTGAAGTTTTCCCAGGAATATGAGGTAATACACTTTCTTTATGTGACAGAACTTCCAATGTACGCATGCCTTTGTCTTGACTAGAAAAATAACATCAGCACTTTTTATTGAAACACAATTCCAAATCTGATACAAATTGTATTAATAGACAATTAAATTAATATAGTCACTGCATTTTATTGGTATTGTTTTACATTTATTAGAGGTAAATTGAGTGATATTCTTCTTTCTCTCTTTCTTTTTCATGAAATATTCTGACTCAGTAAGATTCTAAATGTTTCAAATAGGTTCAAATAAATTTATTCATGGTAAGAATCTTCACTGTAAAAGATATCATCAGAAATAAGTCAAATTTTATTGTGCTTTATTTATTCTATGGGTATGTTATATGTGAGTGTGCATACGGGGAAGTCTGAAGAAAAGTTGCAGGAGTCAGTTCTCTCCTACTGTATTGGATTCTGAGAATCCAGGCTCCTTTCCTGCTGAGCCTCTTGCTAGCCAATATGTAGTAGATTTCTGAATGTGATGCTTCCCAAGGATTGAAAACTCTCTACTTATTGAATCACCATTCACTGTACATAGTGTTAAGATTACCAGAAGTGGGCCTGTTTTCAAACTAATTAATATCATAAAATCTGAGAGTCCTCAAAGACTGTGAATTATTGGTGTGTGTGTGTGTGTGTGTGTGTGTGTGTGTGTGTGTGTGTGTGTGTATGAGATGGGGGAGAGGAGAGAGAGAGAGAAAGAAGGAGGGAGAGAGAGAGAGAAGAGAGAGAGAGAAGAAGGAGGGAGAGAGAGAGAGAAGAGAGAGAGAGAAGAAGGGAGGGAGAGAGAGAAGAGCGAGAGAGTGTTTGGATACTGTGACATTTGTTAAATGGGATCCAAAGCTGTTCATTTTTAGTATTCTAAAACAAATGAGCCTCATGGTGAAACCTGTTCTAAAAACACTACTAAATGAGCATCTTTGCTCTTGTATTGTATTTGTTACAGTGTAATTTAAATATACCACTACAATCTTGTAATTGTTCTCAGAAGTAGAGGGTTGAGGGTTTGCTGAACTTCCCAGATTCCTTTAGGAGAATTTCTACTGATTTGCTTACTGGAAGTCATAAAACACTGCTCTCTCCCATACCTTTTCTTGGTCTTTGCTGCATCAGGTCCAAATGCAGTTGTTCAAGGTAGCCTTTCTCTATCAAGTTTAACAGTCTGTCCTGTCACATACAGTCAGAAATTTCTATGAACTCTACTGTTGAGTGTCCGGAGAGCTCACAAATCCCAGACATGCTGTATCCTAAGAATGTGGAGCAGGAGGCCCATGGCAATCTATCTACATAGCCTTCCTAACTTTTTAACTAAGAAATTAAGTTTCTCACACTTTTCTCTGTCTCCCTTGTCTCTCTGTCTCTCTGTGTCTCTTTGTGTGTTCGTTTCTCTCTGTCTCTCTCTCTGTCTCTCTCTCTGTCTCTCTCTGTCTCTCTCTGTCTCTCTCTCTCTCTCTCTCTCTCTCATTTGTATTTCATTCTTCCTTTCCTTTTATGTGTCCCTTCCCCAGAATTGGTGATTTAATCCAGGCTCTCATGCATACTAAAGAGTGCTCTAACATTGAGCTACATACTAGACGTTTATTTTTCATTTTGAGACAGAATCTCACTAAATTTCATTTCTCAGTCTGTCCTCAACCATAGTATCATGCTACCTACTTTCTGAATAGCTTCCTAGTTATATGCTGGATAAGCAAGCCATCAAAATTGGGTCCACTGTTACTCTCCATGCTTCAGTTTGCATATTCTAACATCTTTGTGTTATTTAGTATCTTAGGGTTTGGCTGCTGTGAACAGACCCCATGACCAAAGCAACACTTATAAGAAAAACATCTAATTGGGGCTGGCTTACAAGTTCAGAGGTTCAGTCCGTTATCATCAAGGCAGTGAACATGGCAGCAGCCAGACAGGCATGGTGTAGGAGGAGCTGAGAGTTGTACATATTCATCTGATAGCTACTAGCAGAATACTGGCTTCTAGGCAGTCAGGATGAGAGTCATAGCTGTCACCCACAGTGACACAACTACTCCTACTGGGCCATACCTTCTAATAGTGCCACTTCCTGGGCAGAGCAAACAAAATCCATCACAATGGTAAAAGACAAAGAGATGGATTTTTTTTTCGTTGCAAATGGGCTAAGTAATGTGTTCTGTTTATCCCTCAAGCATTCTGGGAAACTAAGATTGGAGTGACTCTTGTCTTATTTTCTTAAAGCCCTACTTCTCACCCTATCACTGTTCTTCTACTAATGTAGCCCCTCTTGTTAAATGATTCAATAGCCTTTAAAGCAGCTCCAATGTCTTCTTATTTCGAACTTGAGAATGGAAATAGAGTTGTGGCCATGAGAAGAAGGAAAATGAAGACTATTTAAGGATCAGTTTTTACCAACCAAAATCTTCACTGCTCTTGATTGTTAACATATTAAGTCTTCATTATTTTTCTGTATATTTTTGTCCTGACCTTGCTTTAATTTTTTATTTACAAAGATGTGATAGGTCATGGAAGTTAAAAATATAATCTCTCAGCTGATCAATAAGCCATCACTCCACTCTTCATCAGCAAAAAATTCACACAGCTCCTGCAAATTTACTTGTATCCATTGAATGAAATAGCTCGCCTCACTTAAATAAAGAAATTCTCAAGAAATATTCCATGGGAAGCTAGGCTAATGATCATTTAGATCAGAAGCACTCCCTAAAAGTAGCTATGAACTGCATGCTGGCATTACTGCCATTAGCAACTCCCAGAGTCACCTCAGCCATTGACATGATAGCCCACTCAGAGTCTTTACCCTTCATCAGGAAGATGGTCTGTGATTAAAGCTCCCTAGGCATGAATTGACTAGACTGTGTTTTAATAGCCATGAAGGAGATATTTAAGTGGTGTACTCATCTCTGGTAATGAGAGTAAGACCTTTACATAGAAATATCAGAGAAACACTTTAGGAAGTTTTTTTTTTCTTATTAACTACCATATAGATTTGAATTTTTTTTGACTGGTTTTCAGTGAGGAGAAAGTAAACTCATTACTTATCACCTCATTAGTTTATTAATCACTAGGGACTAATGCTGATTGAGTCTGCCTTAGCTGAATAACACTAAATATAAATAACAAACAAAGGGTAAAGATAGGAGAGTTCTTTACAGTGGTCCTGAGTTCAGAAGAGGAGGACAAAGGTCAAATTGCACATCAGCTCCCATCATTAGAGTCATGCTAAGATTGTAGGCTAAGAAATGAGTTTAACCTCATCTCTGAAGGTCATCATAAATGCTTTAAGGTTTCCTGTTCTTCTATGAGAAAAAAAAAGTCACTGGAATATGATTAATCTCAATTTAAATATAGCAACTACCATGTGCAAAATAAAGTCTACTCTCAATGGCAATGTATTAGTCTTACAAACATATAGAACTCAAAATAAGTGCAGTTTTGCAAAATGGAATGGCATTGTTTGAAAGTCTATTCTATTTTAAATTTAGATCTATAGTGGCTTGCATAGTAAACCATGTCAATGATCATAACATGTGGGAAGTATATATATATATCATACATTTAAGTCTAGCCTGTGCTATAGTGAGTCTCTGTCTTTAAAAAAGCAATTTTTTTCTTAGACTCCATCTTAGATACAGTATTCCAGTTAGTAAACTATTATATCTATGGATACTTATTTTAAAAATAGCATTTAAACTAATTTGGATAAAGGATCTCTGAAAACTTCATTTTGAAAGATGATACCATTTATTTAGGTCTCCACTTATCACCACTCCTTGTGATGGAAAATAGGTACATGTATATTTGAGATTCACTTGGTAGACATCATTAATCAGAGTTATTAATATCAACACATATGTATATATGTGTATATATGCATATGCACAATTATAGTTTAGACCAGATGCATTGTTAGTGTCTTAGTTACTTTTCTGTTGCTGTGAAGAAACACTACAAGCAAGGACGCTTATATGAAGAGTTTACTGGAGCTTACAGTTTTGGAGGATGAGTACGTGACCATCATGGTGGGCCAGTTACATCAGGCAAACAAACATGGGACTGGAATAGTGGCTAAAAACTTATATCAGGTGTGAGCTTAACTTACTGAGACACAGCTACAAGGCAGAGAGAAATTGGGAATGGTATGGACTTTTGAAACCTCAAAGCCTCTACCTAATGAGACAACTCTTGTAACAAGGCCACACCTCCTAATCCTTTCCAAACAGTTTCTACAACATGAAATCAAGTATTTGAATGTGTAGGTCTCCTTCTATTAAAATAACCATAGTTGGTAACTGCAACTATAGCACTACATAAGGAAAAAGGCAAGAGCAATTGATATGTTAAAGAAGCAAGGGCTTGCGGTCAAGGATGCTTCAAATTCCCACATCCAAAGCTAGGTGCCTACTGCATCTTCCAGAACTCTTTGCTAAAGTTGTCTTTGTGTGTCACTAACCTGGCCTCAGCCTTTCTACTTTACTTTGTTGAACAAGAGAAAGAATATTTCTAAGATAATCAAGCCAGCTGTATTTTTCTAAGAATAATAAGAAATATTCTTAATGAACTAATCTTAAAATGGAAAACTGGGATAATACAGAAGAGATGGTGGTATGAGTGGCCCTTGGAAGAGTGCTGTGTATTTTGCCAAGAGCAAAATCAGAGGCACATAGGAAAAGTATGCATTCATGATCACATGAGTAGCACTCACATCACCTGGGAATACTATAAAGAGTCAGAGTTTTAGTTACTGTCCCAAACCTACTGAGTCAGGACCTGCTGTTTAACAAGATACTATGATATCTTTGCAAAAAAAGAAAAAAGAAAATGTATGTAGAGAAATAGCATTGAGTGGATTTGTGAAAGTATAAATTGTTCATATTAGAGAGCTGAGTAAGATAAAGTTGGATCAGTATAGAATGCCAAAAGTTGTCCTTAGCTTCCAGTGCAGGGCCAATGGTGAGAGCTAAGTGTTATGATGGTGGACAGGGTGTGGAT